GTGCTTCATGGACCCACAGCTGATCCAAGCCATTTAGATGGCGACAACCACAAAGAGTAATAATAAATCCGCAGCCAAGACGATCTCTACAGCCACAAGATGCTAACTCGCAAAGCAAATGCACTAGATCAACACTAATCTCACCTAAATGCAATCTCAACTAAGAAAATGTGAGTGGAGGTTTCTTGAGCTCTAATGGGTGTCCAAGTCACTAAGGAGTGCCAAGAGTGCTTACATATCCAAGTGCGCTACCTATTTATAAGCCCACTCAAGAAACTAGGTATTACCCTCTTTGCAGGCTTTCTGCATACTCACAAGAGACCTTCGGTGGTACCACCAGAGTTCTCCCAACGGTCACTAACATATGTCAGAACTAGTCGTTAGATTTCTCTAAGCTCTAGTTAGTCTTCTCTGGTGATCATTGGACAAATCCGGTGCCAACTCAGCATCGCTTCCGCATAGAAACTACCATCTATGGACTAAACTTTGATGAGCTCTCCGGTGACCCCACCCGAAGTTCCTGGTGCATTTTAAAAAGTTATTTAGAAGGTTTTTAGGCCCTCAAAAATTCCTACGTGTTGTCACTACATAAATTCTCGCCACATGTCCACCCTAAGCTGCATTGGTGTCATCTCCTATGACCACCGGAAGATAAGGTGACTCATTGTGCATGGTTTTGTTATCTAAGCTGGCCACTGATGACCACCAGACTTTTCTGATGCCTCTGAAAGCAGTTAGAGTGACAATCGAACTGTTCTGATTAGGGCACCTTTCCTATTCGGCAACCACCACCAAAGAACTCTGACGCATATAAAAATACTACACCAAATGCTTCTCTCAAACCTTTTCCAAATGGCTAACTCCTTATGGTCTTCCCGGGGGATGATCATCACTTTTAGCACTAAGTTAGCATTTTAAAAATATTTTTAAAGGTTTTCACTCGCTTCTTTACCACGCCACTCAATATTGATACATATACATTATTTGATCTCACCTAGTGGCACTAGGCAACCATATTAGCCAAAGAATTTCCCTTTTTATAGTATGGCTATCTATCTTAAACTTGGTCATTCACTTCTCCAAACACTTTAGGTCTGTGAAAACAAACGATTTATTTCATATACCTTTGCCTTGTGGATTTGCTTCCAACTCCAACCTCTCCATCATCACCTCTCATCTTGACCCATTGTACTTCATGATCCTAGCCTACATTCATGGCCTTTATGTTGCCCAAGACAAGTTTGTGTCTAAATCAGGTCTCATATGGAAATTAATAGCCCATCTGATATTATCATTTAATTAACAAAATCAAACCGGTAGTTTCACCTTAGTGCAAAAGAAAAGAGAGAGAAGCAACTTTTAAAGTGATTTAATTTATTAATTTATAGGTTTGAGGCCGTTAAGTGGGCCATTTTGTGGGCTGAGGATTGAAAACAAATGATAGCCACACGGTTTATGTGATGGTGGATCTCTTATGCTGTAAAGAGATGCTATGCCACTATATATCAGTTATCAAAGGACAAGCTCTAGCTGTTAACTACATACATGCATGCGCCATACATCATCGGTTATGGAAGTAAGGGTTGATCATAAAACGGTCGGTACGGGATTTTTTTTCTATATTTTAGTAATTAGTGAACATAAAAATTGGTTGAAAATGGTTGTGAAACCTATTGAAAATAATAAAAATTTATGTTTGGCTAAAAATTCAGAAACGGTCGAAAATGGTATCATAGTATAGAAAATGAAAATGGATGGTACTGTACTTTTGTCCTGATCACTTTTACCCAAGTAATCATGAAAAACTATAATTTTAATCATGTCTTTAATTAAAGTATTATGAAATTTAATAAATTTATAGAAAATAATATTAATATTTATAAAACTAAAAGCTGTGTTATAAAAATATATTGGATGTTTAAATCTTGTTGTACTTATTTGGTATCGCAAATACTAATATCTTTTATATGAACTTAGTCAAACTAAAAACCGTTTGATTTAATACTATTTTAAAATTATATATTTTTGCCAACCAGAGGGGTAGTTGATTGCACGGGTTATGGCCGTACACATAAGTACGGAACCGCGTCAAGATATTTTTCTAAGTTCCTACTTTGTTGTTTATCATGATGCCCACAGCCCCTGCCTTTTCTTAATCTCATGCTGTCAGCCAGTTCTATATATATAAGCCACTTAATGGTCCATCAGAAGGGTAAAAATGCTTAATTTGGAGACTAATGGTGGCCATTGGAACTATAGCCTCTTCAAAACATCGAAAGCCACATATAGACAAAAGCTATAGTACGTTGGCACCGTAACCGCACATAGCTGAGTCTACACCAAGTTCATATGTTTTTTTATATGCTCAAATTAAACATGTGTCACCTATCAATGTTTGGTTGACTAATATTATTGATTTGAGGAAGCCTGGCCAAGGCACAGAAAGGAAACTGCTTCATTATTTGGTGTTTCGTTTGACCCAGCTTTCGTTGCCCTGAAGGAAACATTTTCAAATGATGGTGAACATTAAATCTATCCAGGATCTATTGAGGATCAGATAAAACTTGCACGATACACTCAATCTGCTGCGTGCACTGGCTGGTGTGCCAGGAACGGATGTATTCCTGTTATATGGACTGTGCGTATACAACATGTTGAAGATAGTGGCAGTGTTGTCAGCAAGGAAATTGGAATCGTTTATAGACGACATGCGATCTGCTTGGTGTACGTACGTGTGGTCAAATTTCTTTTCCCTTTTTGATTTGCTCGATGCTGACATGGTTTTGATACAAAATTAAAACAAACTATAATGGTTCATGGTAAGTCGAGTAAAATCGTAGAAGATGGTAGATATCTATTTAGTATATATTTTTCCTTGTGCTGCTATTTTGGTAAAAATTGTTTCCAAATGGTAGAGGCTTTTTTCATATACTTTTTCACGTTGATAGTTTGGAATTTTAGTACAGACTGTTGAACTGTAAAGCTAAAGCGTCTCTAGGGACCATGGTATTGTTGTTATGATACTTTCTGGGTTCTGTGTGAACGCTAGTTTGATGGCAAAGCATGGGCGGGTTAAGTTGACGTGTGAACAATATAATGAAATGCTTGGACAGTAAAAACTCTGTGAACAATAGCCAAGGCCTTAGTGTTTGAAATGGTACTTAGTTATTATTCACATGAAACTATGATATTTCAATATGATTTGTATTAATCAACAGCCCACCCTATGATATTGCTTAACATTTATGTAAAGTAGAGGTCTCTCAGCGACATATATATACAACCATATCTGATTATCCAAGTGTCTAATCCACAAACAGTCAAACACAATCAAACTACGTACACTACACAATCATCATATCACACGGTCCATGGTCTATTATAATAGAATATAAATATCATGTGTATGTAAGTAAAGCGTGCCAAGCTTAATAGCGGGTATTCTAGGTTGATAAAGGTTACGGAAAGATATAAGGTCAAACAAGTTTTGTCATGCATGCCAATTCACAAGATATAACAAAAGTGAGTGCTAGAAACGTCTAGTTGCAAGCCAAATAGGATTCTACAAGTGGGTGGGATATGACACTTTCATTGTCATGGAGGTCATCACCCAAGTCCTCCATGTACTCAGGGTCTATTGGGTTAGGGTTTAGGGTTTAAGGTTTAGGGTGATGACGTCAATGACAAATACATATGCCAAGCGAAGGTGAAGTCATGTCATGGACTAGATCAAAACTCAGGTCCTAGTCCACGGGTTGGATCCAGTCCACGATGAACTACCATTTGGCACACCATGCATGGACCGTCCCCTTGGTTCTTGATGAGCCATGTGTCTATGAACAGAAATCATGTGGTTGATCCTTGGTGTCCCGAGTTCAGGGAAAGTTAGCATGTGGTGGATAGTGCTTATGGGCCTCTGCAAGGCCAAAAGAAGAGGTGGGTGCGAAGCAGGCTCAGATTAGCTTTACTATGCCATTTTTCTATATGTGTGTTGCGACTAACTCAATATATAGCACCTATATATAATTATATATGTCTATTTTATATTAGTTCCACTATCCAATAAATTCTACCGATACTGGTTAGGTCATTCGTTCTAGGCTCTTGGCAGATGGGGAAAGGCAAGGGCGCACATATGTGTAGCCTTAACCATTATCTTGCACTAGTAGAGAAATGACTTTTGGTTCGCACCTTTAGTCTCGATTGCATTGGGGTTCAGGACTAATGTGAGCATTAATCCCGGTTCTAAATTTTACATGCACCAAAGACCGTTTTTATCCCGGTTGGTAACATCAACTGGGACTAAAAGTCACCCTTTAGTCCCGATTGGTGCAGTTGAGTTGGTAAGGAAGCTACGCGCGAGACAAGGGGTCTTAGGTTCGAATCTCACGCACCACAAGAGAGGTCTCCCAGGATTTAAACTATTTTTTTTTAGTTTTGAAGATGGGCTTTAGTCTCGGTTGCGTGACCCGGGATTAAAGGTCCACTGGGACCTTTAATCCTGGATCCGTAATGCCGGATGGAAAACCGAAACTAAAGCCTGTTCCCAACCGAGATTGAAACCGACCGGTGTACCAGGGTTGACCATTGATTTCTCCCTCTCCCTCGGCTGCAACACCAATCTTGATGCGATATTTCTAGACACCAATCTCATGCTCGCATCAATCTTGACGCAAGGTGAATGTCCGAGATAGCTCTTGCGGGTACAAGGGCATAAAAAATCCATTCTCCTGGTACATGTCTCTTTGGATCTCAACCCTGACTCCATTAAAAAAGAAAAATCCATTTATCTTGCTACCACCCTGGATTTGTTCTCTCTCCCACCTCTTTGACATTTTCAACCCAAAACGCACGCCAGCAAAGGCGCCACCCCGTTGATCCTTTTTAAGTTGGTTCCAGGTGTCGTACTGTCCGTACAACCCACCCACCCCGACCCCAAGCAAGTCAACGTCCGCTAGCTCTCTCGTCCTCCGTTCGCTACGAACTGAAGAAGCTGGGCTATGGAGGGCGATCTGCGTTGGTGCTGTGGTAGCAGCAGCAACGACTGGGACCTACACGCCGTGGTGCGCTTCGCCAGCTGCAGTGGTGGCAGCCGCGTCACCTCGCCGCGGGCCTCGGACGAATCGTTCTCCTGCCTGCCCCTGCCGCCGCAGTCACAGAAGGACGAGCTGACGGACGCCGCAGCGTTGCAGCAGCCCCTGATCGGCCCTACCGTCGACGACTTCTGCCTGCAGCAGGCCTTCTTCGCCGCGCCGCAACCAAGAAACGAAGCGCCGCCCCAGCAGCCGCCGGCCAAACCACGAACTTCCTACCACAATAACGGCGTTGGCGGACCCACACGATCGAAGAGAAAGTATGTATCAGCTGTACTCCCATCCAAATCTCTATTTTCGATTATTTCCTCGCAAAATACTAGTATCTGGGTCTGGGAACGACTGCAACTCTTAGATAGACATAGGCTGATCTCACGGGCCTGTATTCGTAGGAAGAAGAGCCAGGTGAGCAACAAGGAGGTGAAGCGGGTGCCCGTGGGCGCGTCTCCGGACCCCTGGGCGTGGCGCAAGTACGGGCAGAAGCCGATCAAGGGGTCGCCGTACCCGCGCGGCTACTACCGATGCAGCACCGACAAGGACTGCAGGGCGCGGAAGCAGGTGGAGCGCTGCCGCACCGACCCCTCCACCCTCATCGTCAGCTACACCGGCGAGCACAGCCACCCAGTCCCACTCCATCGCAACGCCCTCGCTGGCACCACGCGCAACAAGCCGCAGCCAGCACCGTCCACCTCCCCAGCCGAGCAGCCTCCATCTGCGTCGCCGATCGACACTACTACTACTACGCTGCTTTGTCCGTCCGTGGGAGTGGAGTACAAGGAGGAGGAGGAGGTCAACACTGTTGCCGGCAGTCTGCTGCTCGAGGATCCGGAGATGGAGGGAGAGGAAGACGTGCTGTTATTCCTCAAGCCTGCTCCGGATGCGGACAATGGCACTGGCAGAGGCTCGGAGAAAGTCATGCCACTCTCGAAGCTCCACGAGCTTCCACTTCCAGCAATGACGAGCAGCAGCAGAACGGGCGATGGATCAGGGGCGGCTCCAGCGGCCATGAACGTCACCGACGAGAAGTGGGAGGCTGCAGCGGTGGTGGCGGCGACGAACTGGGACTGACTTGTGCTGCTGCTGGCCTGCTGCATACATCGATTTCGAAGCACACTGCGCACCGCACAGGAGCATACACAATGCTGTTAATCTTGGCTTATTGCGGCAGAATGCAGAATCATGATGAACTCTAGTCAGCATCAGAAGTGTCACTTTTTACTAGTGACGTAGTTAAGTGCTTTTAGCTAGTTTTTTGTTAAGTGCATGTATAATGTATAATTATAGAATAATCAACCTAAAAAAAATTATTTTTAGACTTTTGTATTCTTAATTTAGTTGTCCTTTAATCAAGAAGATCTTCTTGATAGCCCTGAAATTTCCTTTGTGCTATATACAGGTCAAATTAAGTGCGCCAGTGCAGTAAAGTCGAAATATATTTAGATAATAGCCTACTACAAACTACAAGATTGGATCCACGGAGATCAATCCAAACCCAAGGAAAACAACGTCTATTAGCTTGGCGATGTCCATACAAAGGCATCCTTGAGCGCAGTCGTGAACTTTTACCATTCCCATATCAATCCTGCAAGTTTATCCTTCTACACATTGCGAGAAGCATGCAGGCCATGATCAGTAGTTATAAGCTTTAAGTGACCTATATTTCTAAGGGATCTTGTGAGCCTATTATTTGGGTTGTGGGTTGCATCCTATTGTGCAATTATAAATAATAATTAGTAAATATCCACTTATCATCATCTCCATGCCCCTGAGTCCACCCAAGGAGTTAGCTTCCTACTCTCATTCTTGCACATCACCTTAAGTCATCCACTAAGCATCACTCTTCTTCCACTGGCACATCCACCTCATGTCATCTCTGCGGCCTCAGGACGGTCCTTAGATCACCTAGGGGAGAGAAGGAAGCAATATCTCATACTAGTTAGGGTAACACAACACAAGATATTGTCCATGACTGTTATGGCTATATGTATAGATCTAATAACTCTACAAAGCGTGTACACGTAGTAATCCACATGAAGTTGTTTACACCAAATTTTGGAATGGTACGCGGGAACCCGAGATTCGGGAAAGGCGCCTGAGGACCTCGTCGTACGCAGGAGCAGCCCACGAGCGGTTGGAGTCGGAATCGGCTGTATGGCCCATGACGTCAGCATCGGCTCAGACATGGGCTTGGTTTCTGTTGATTTTTGGAAGCTGAGGCGTGGTCAACATCGGCTGGAGCGTGAGCGAGTCGGACTCTACCAGAAAGGGAGAAGAGTGGAGTCTAATTTACCTAGAATTAAATGTTTTCTTTCATTCCAAGTATTGTAAGAGTCTTATTTGACTAGGACTCATATTAAGCCTTGGGTATAAATATAAACCCCGGTTATTGTAACGCACATCAATGACACATCAATATAACTTTTGGCTTTCATGCCAAAACATTAGGAGTTATACTGTAGATCTCGACGAGTTCTTCAGTGAACCGGACTGCATCGCTTTCGATCTCCGGTTTGCTTGTAAGTGCCATCACGACTAGTATTATATCCGGTTAGGCTGCATCATTTGATCTCTAGTTTGATTTCATGATTGTTAGTTATCGATTTGTATCTAATTAAGTAAGGCTACATCTTTTGATATCTTGCTCGGTTTGATATCAAATCTTCAGTTATCGATCTAGCTATATCTGGTATTTTACTAAATTTAGCAATATCACCAATTTACCTGGTTAAGATTAAGACAGATCGGTTCTTATCATATCAATCTATTGTCTTGTTGCTATATCACGATCAAAACCATGTTTTGACCTTAGGTTCTGCTGCATCGGCTATTTTATCTTAATTTTAACTAAACATAGTGCATGCTCAAAGTCTTGTTTTACTTTAAGTAGATTCATCGCGGCTAGTAATCTTTAATCTACCGTTTGCTATTATTGCTGCATCGTATCGACCTGTTTGATAGTGGCTTTAGGTTAGATTTTATTAGTCAATAGACTTGTTTATTAGGAAAACATGGTTCCGTGTATTCACTATGTCCGCATGGTTATATATCTGCTGGCCTGTGCTTTCACGCTTATAGCATGTTTTCATGATTCTATTGAGTTACAAATAGATCTATTAGCTTGTTAGCTTTAATTTGTTACCCGTGCCAACGTTGCATCAGTTTGAACTGTTTGGTGATGATAATACACTAGATCTGGTTTGTTTATAGATTTATTTATATTAAATAGATGACTGTTTACATGCTATACTTTGAATTCTTTGCATCGGCTCAATAACCGATAGCCTGCGCTGTCATGCTTTGTCGAATTTCTTGATCATCGGCTCTTTGATATAGGAGCTGCAAGACCTGAGGGATTATCTATCGTTACAAACCTTTGATGAGCACAGCAAAGATATCTGGACATATCAGTGGGGCAGCACATCCTACTCGTCAAGCAAATTTTATAAGCTGGTTTTCCAGAATTTGCCATCGCACCCGGTGTTCGCCTAGCTGTGGACATCCAAATGTACTCCGAGGGTAATTTTTTTTTGCTTGGCTAGTCCTTGTTGACAGATTAAACACCAAGACAATGTTGCGAAGAAGGAACGTGTACACCGAGGAAGACGCACACTGTGTCCTGTGTACTGCAGGGATTGATGAGGACCTGGATCATCTTTTCTTTAGCTGCCCGTTCTCCAAAAGATGTTGGGAATCCATTGGCATACAGTGGGATAAAAGTCTTGGCCTGCACTCGAGATTTGTACATGCCAGGCAGCAGCAAAATATTCCCTTCTTCATGGAAGTAGTAGTCATCGCAGCCTGGGAGATTTCGAAACTCAGGAATGACAAAGTCTTCAATGATGGCCGAGTACATGTTGATATCTGGTTCAGGAATTTCAAAAACCAATGCCTCCTTCAGTCGCTTCGTTTTAGTGATGACCTTAGGTCATCATTCTGTTTTTGTTAGATGCTTTCAGTTAATTTGTTGTAAGTACTCTTGTATTCCTTTGCTCTAAAATTATAAAATAAAGTGCTGTGGGAATCTCCACCACAGTTTTTGGCTTAAAAAAATGTTTGTAGAGACCCATCGTGTTAATTTACTTAAATCGAGTGTCATCCACTTGACCAACTCAATTTAAGTAAACCAACTTGGTGATCCCCAGGAGATGCCATCAACATCCTCTTTAACTCAAGATCCCGGTTGAGTATCATACCCCAATAGCCGCCACATATAAAGATCACATCTCAGCAACGGAGTACATAAATCATCGGAAAACATAAATTACAGGTCTTATCACATTTAACCAATTAATTATACAACATAGGTGATGACATTGGTTCAACTATATGTAGTGAAATCCAAATGACTCTCTTACCATTTGTATTGACAATATAATATATACTCTCACTAGTAACGGGTGGTTGCCTTGCTCAGGGGCGTCGCCACCATAGCTTGGATGGCTCTTGCCACTCACCCACTTTGCCACCAACGACGGGGTGAAATTGCTGCCTATATCCTTTACCTACAAAACAACTTAACGGCAGCACTGTGAGTACATTGTGTACTCGCACGACTTAATTTCAACATATATATTTGGTGGATGCAAAAGGGATTAATAAGGATTGGTACATTTGCATAAAAGCATGGCGTTTATTAAAAGATGGCATGCTCATGATTCATAATTAAATTAATTAGTAATTATAAGTTCTTAGACAAGTATTGAGTAACATAATTAAAGTCATCAACATTATAATTTATATCATCGTCAATTATCATCATCAAGTTCATCATTACGCTACAGAGGGTATAGAAGAAAGAACAACTGGTTACCCCACACGGAGAATGGGACAAACCACCATACCCATGCCCGAATAAGGATTGCCTCACGTCTCTAACCTTTCCCTAATCCGGCCAGAATGTTCACAAAAGATTCGACTGGTTTCTGGTTAATGCTACCACCATCTAACCTGCACCACCTTCTTGCCAGTTTTATGAACAAACCGGTCACAATTAGATACTTGGCTTATCGCACCCATACTTGACATGTGGTGGTGGGTGGTTACTCATACTCGCTATTCCAACGAACGGTCCTTATGTGAAATAGAGAACATAGAAGAGATAGCATAACATGAGAGATGTGGGGGTGTGGTTCAGCTCTCACGTGAATGTAAGGTGCAACAAACAAATATGATGCTTGATGAGTACAATGCACAAAAATAATTGAAATGACATAATATGCATTGATGTTGCTTGATTAGTCTTTGAGTGTATGTATTAAGTGTTTGAGTGTGGCGTAGTTGGGCTATCGGTTTGGTTTATTAGACAGTCTGGTATAGATGTCGGACAGTCCGCTAACTCAGGGACTTAGTGAAATCAGGACATCTGTAGTACCATGGGACCCTCCGTGACAAGGCACGGACAATCCACAACACTTGGAAAGAAACCAGCTACTCTCGGGTTGCTAATTTATAAATCAATGGACTCTCCGTGAGAACTCATGGATACTCCGGTACAACTAACAGACACTCCGCTGAGGCAAGTCTGTGGCTTTAGGCTCTGTCTCTGAAATATAATTGCGCTTTAGGCTCTGTCTCTGAAATATAATTGCACAGACTCTCCGCCAAGATTGACGGACTCTCCGTCGAATCATACAGTGCTTGGTTTAAGTGTAAAGCTCTCAGTTACAGTAGTGGTGGACTCTCCGGTCAGGGCGATGGACCCTCCGTCAGTTAACTGACAGTGCACAAATCTAACAACTCAGAAACTTAATCCTTAAGCTAGAGTGTTTGCTTGTGCATGATATTGTGTTAGTGTGTTCCCAAGATGCTTAGGAGTCCATCTAAGCAGGGGCATGTGCTCATTGTGCAAAAAGTAACATGTTTCTAGTTTTGGGTTATTATGTGAAGCATAAAAGATATGCTTGAGTGCATGAATGCAATGAGATAATGCACAAAACATGTTTCATAACTGTACATGCTTAAAGGAAGGTAGCAAAATAAGTTCCATAAATTTAGGAGACCTAGCTAGAGAATAAGTTATGCAATTTATAAGCTAAAAATGCATTATTTTTTCTTAACTCTTTTTTTTT